CCAAAATAGATAATTTTTAGAGAGATAATATTGATGAATAATTGTGTTGAAATATTGCATTTGTCAAAAAAATAACTTTTGATTACTTCATTAGAAATAAAAAAATCATTTGTGACTAATTAAATTTTTTCTTTCAATCATGGCATATGTTTTTTCAAATCAACACTTTTGATCAACTGCTGTTGTTTAAGTTCAAATTTAAAAGCTTAAAATTTACAGTTGCACATATATAACAAAAGACACCTTACTTCTAAACTTAATCTTAATGTTAAATTTTTTTGTAACACATTTTCAATGAAAATAATACAGACTTTAAAATAACTCATTCAATTTTATGTATTTAATAACTTCATTTTTAATTCTTTATAAAACTGAAATATTTTAAATTTATATTATATATTACGTTAAAGCATTTAAATAGGAGCCGATTTTCAGTTGTTAACCTGCAACTTTATTTAATTATTGTATATTTATTACTTGGTTGATCGAAAACAAATTTGTTTCATTTTCTTAATTAGTTATATGTTTAGAGTTAAAACTTTTGTTAAATTTAGTATCCTTCTTATTTTGTAATTAATATAACAATGTGAAGATTACAAAGATCACAGATAGAACTAATTTATGAAACACATTGCAACTTCAAAACTAATCCAGGTGTAGCATTTACACAAATTTTATAATTCTTCAAGAGTGCTCTTTGAACTGATTAAAAACCCAATGTAAGTATAATTAAATGAATAAATCATTTTCACAACAATGTTTCACGATTCAAATGTAGAAAAGAAATTTATAAAAATCGAATAAAAAGTTAATAAAAGAAAAATATGGTAATATATGTAAGGAAATAGTTCATTAAATTAAAATAAAAATGCTTTTAAAAAATATTCTAAAGACAACCAGAAAGTTTGAACAAAATTTGAGAGCACCAAAGAAAAAGTTTCCTGACTGAATGTAGAAAAAGTCACTTTTTCTTTTAACCATCTATAAGTTATGACCATTCTCGAAGCAAAGAATATACATAGGGGTATATAGAGGAATATACCATAGGGGTGAATATTCTCCCTTTCATATTCTTTGCTTGAAGCACCTCCCATCCACTGGTTACATCTGTTTCAATCCTAAAAAGGCAACCCCAAAATTTTAGAAACTTTTTTCGGTGAAGCATTTATAATCAGATTCAAACAAATAGGTTATCCTCTGCTATATCCTATAGATACGCCTCAATAGCTAGATGAATATAGATAAAGCAGTGAACATTTTCCCATCTTAAAAAAATATCTTTTGGCAAATGTTATAATTTCTGATCATGACATTAGACTAATAATTACCATAAAACATGCCAATTTGGAAACATTAAAAGTGCATATAAAATAGAATGTATGCATATTCTCTAAACCATTTGAGAATATGCATACATTCTATATGTTTCTAAAACAATTTAAAGCTCATAGATCTCGGAATCATAGTAAAAACAGCTCTGAAAAAAATAATAATCCATGTAACAGTAAGGCCACAGAATGGGATTTTGGGATTATTAACCCCTAAACATTTATAGAACTGAGCACTTCTTTTTAGAAACATTAAAACACATTGATACAAAAAAAAAAAAATCTTAACCCTTTATATACTGCCGGGACTTTATTGTGTCACTCAATATTATTTTAATATAACTTTGAAACGGAACAAATTATCCCATCAGAACTTGCCTGTCTCTGTAATACGAATTTTTGTTTATAATTACTAACTGACAATACACAATTATTTGAAGTTGAACATCGCGTACTGAACTATTTAGTTGGTGATATTTCGTTTATGAATGCCATTTTATGATTCTTCAATTCTCAGTTTTCTATCTTGATAAATTTTTTACATTAAATTGATCAAATGAAATTTATATATATATTTTTATATATTTAAGTTTTTCAAATTTTTACTGATTCATAGACATTTTCAACTAGTTACAAAACAAAGTATTAAATATTTAACTTTAATAATTTAGGGATTAAAAATTTATGAATCCCAAATTAAAAATAATACAAAATAGTTTTACATATTTTTACTAATTTTAAATTAATTTGGTAAATAAAGGGCAATATAACTATTTGAATTTATTTTGTTTGATATTTTAATCTGCTAGGTAATTATTTGTTAAAGAATTTACATTAAAATATGTGCTAAAAAAATAAGATTTGTACATAATGAAGTAATTAAAAAATTTATAACCTGTGCTGCATTGCTACAAATAGTTTTAAGTTTGTTAAATCTATTACAATTGCATAAATCAATTTCATGCAAAAATTATTTTTAACACAGGTATTTTAATCATGATTGAAAAATCGTTGAATTGTAAAGCGTGGAAAATATCTATATCTTTTTCAATGTAAGTTGATATGACAAAATTTCAACGACACATAATCAAGAAAATTATTAAAATGTCATTTGAAGAAATAAAATTTCGAAACTTAATAGAAATATGCAAGTAATTAGAGGTAATCAAGAATGACAATAGAAACTTAAATTTATTATGATTCAATTGCGAAAAATTATAAATGATAAATCTACCCAAATTATCTCTTCTATTAATCAATATTCTATGATATCACTTCTTGTGTTGCAAAATTCAAAAAACAGCAATAACCTTGTATACAACCCTTCTAGAAATTTAAAAATAGCAAATGTAAATGAAATGCATTTATTGCAATAAGCAAAAATATACCTTAAGAAAAAGAAATGTGTGCACATTTATTAGTCTAAATTTCTTTTCAATAAATATTATTTTTTTTTAAAGAAAAAAAATTAGATTTGTTTTCATTTGTTAAGTATAGTTCTCTAGCATTCTGGACCATGATACAAAAAGGCGTTTTTTAATTTATTAACCATATAACCTTTTAACATTTCAGAGGGAAATTAATTTTAAAAAAAAAAAGCGTATACAATTCTATTTAGAATACCAAAATCTTATTTTAACTGTCAATCAGAGTCATATAATTTATTCATAAGAAATTGACATGGTTTTTCAATTATAATATTAACATAAAATTAAAAATTCACATTAAAATATTATAATCAAATGCAAAATGAGAATTATAATTTTATGTAAATGATAAAACACACAGTGTACATGACATTCTCTCAGAAGTTACAAGTACCTCATGAGTATCATTTTATCATAATACAAATAAAAAGCTCTTAATACCCCAAACAAAAATTTATAACAAAAATTTAAAACAGTCTAAATAATGCAAACACTAATTAAATCAAAACATGTTTTGCTTTCTTTTTAGAAAACCAACACCTGAAAAACAAATAAAACATTTCGAATTGACGAACTCACGAAAAATTTTAGATTTTAATATACCAACACAATATATAACTTAGTTAAGGCTTCTAAAACAAGTAATTTTCAAAGGAAATAAACAGTAGATTTCATGCTCTTGAATTTGTCGATTCTATTAGAACTTAACTTCATAAATTTGACTTTTATTCAATATTAAAAATTTTACTAAATAGAAGGAAAAAAAGTACTAAATTCAAATAAAAAAGTCAATTTAAAGTTTTAAAAAATAGAAATAACAAGAACAAGTAATTATTTTATTGTTGTCACATCAGAAAATAAAGAAAATAATTTTAGCATTGTAACAATCATGCGTTAAAATAATTGCAAAAATACCAGAAGAATAAAACTAAAACTAAAGTCCTTTAAATTTCTGTACAAATTACCAGACCAAACTATTTAAAAAATTAAAACTAGAACCCTTCTTAGCAGGCAAGAACATTTAAATACTATAAACAGAAAGAAAAACATTTAATAATCTGGCGACAGATCAAAGTTCAGAGAGAAATGAATTAAAAAATTATCTTCAGAGATCAATAAAAAGATAACAGAGATCAATAGCACCTAATTAAATTGTTCCTTAATAAAAAGTAACTTTTTACATGAAATAGTATGTTGCATGCATTACAGCATATTGTGATTTTCTCAAATAAGTTAAAATACTTTAAAACTAATTATTAATTCACTAATAAATGCACAAAACTACAGTGTGAGAAAATGCAAATGACTAGTATGTTTAAATGCTGCAAAAAGACAATTTATTAAGTATTTTGATATTTCTTTAAAATTGTTGTATTACAGAAAATGTATTACAAATGTAGAAATATGCATTCAACTGAAATATTAATTACATTTTGTTAAAATTATCATATTCAATTAATAATGTACAACACATTTTGTACTATATTGAAAAGTATATTTAATATTGAACCTCAATTCTGCAATTAAATTAAAAAATAAGCACCAATTCTAACATTGATAAACATATATAGTAAGATAAGCATTGATTTCTCCCCTTTAACTTAATATTTAATTTCTCCTCTTTAGATATTAAAAAAAAACTATTTTAATTATTAATAATAAAAAATACCCTTAACTATAAAAAACTAGATATAAGCACCACTAACAAATAGCATATTCAGCAAGATTTTTTTCTTCTGAAATACAATATTTTTTAAATAATCAGACTTAATAATACATATTTTTTTTTTCTTGGCTAGCTAAATGAAATTTGTAATATACAGGGTATCTGCTACATTTCAGATTTTCAAATTCATGTCTAATTTCAAGAATTTTTCATGACTTAAGGAAGTTACTATTTTCTCTGACAAACACACTACAATAAATTTGAAAAAGCATTATAATAACTTTAATTGAAATGATAGGTATAACCAAAACTGTTATACTCTGCATCGTCATATTTATAGATTTTAAATTTAAAAAACAGAGTAAAGGAAGAGATGAAGCAATAAAATAGTTGAAAAAAATACAAAAGAAAAATAATTTTTCTTCCTTTTTTTGCAGAATTAGATTCTAAAGATACTTTTCTTGTTCATCGGAAAGGAAAGAAATACTTCTGATTTTTTGTTCTCATTTAAAAATATCGCCAATGACTGGCCTGCTTCAGCTATAATTTTAAATTGATAAAATAAAAAATAAAAAAATAATAACAAAAATTCTGAAATCACAGAAGTTTATAAGATAATTCGCTCTAGAAATGATGTTTCTCTTTCATTTTTTGAAAGAACACCATAATTTTTAAATAGCAGATATTTGGAGCATCGTGAAATTGGGAGGGAGGGTAAATTCCATTTTAAAAATTTGATTTTTCAGCAACATAAATACATGACTTTCTATGATTTTTTAAAAAAATAGTTAAAATCATGACATTCCATGACAAACTTTGTTCAATACCAAAATTCATGACTTTCTTTTATTTCTCATGACTTTCCAGCTGCGCAGATACCCTGAATATATTACATTCAGAGAAGGAAAAAAAAAGGTTGGTTGCAAATCATGTAATATACATGTTACATGCAAATCATGTTACATTAAAAAAAAATAATAATAAAAGGTTGGTAGAAAATCACAATCACAACCACAGCTAACATGAACATAACAGTGTCTAATGAATATGAGTCAAAATTTTAAAAAAAAAATATTTAAAGTATAACAGTTAACATAAACATGTCTTTAAAAATACCTAAACTACAACAAAACAAAGTAACAAAGAATACAATCTCAAAAATATATCATGTTTCAATTTAACAAGCATCAATCACCTTCACAAATGTCATACAAAATAATTTATACATCTTGGAAGAATACTGGAAGATTTTTGAAATCTCTGAATTCTTCAAAGGCCTGCTTGAAGTCACTGAGATTCAAAATTGCGTAAAAAAATTAATAAAGCTATTTTTAGTCATCAATTAACTTAGTTTTCCAATTTCAAACTTTTTGAATACTTCTGATGCAGAAAATATCAGAGAATCAATAAGACCAGCTACAGTAAAAGTACCTCCTACTATTGCACAAACCTGCAAAAAATTTAAAATGAAAAATGTAGAGCATGCAAACTTTATAGAATTAAAATAAAGCAGAGCAAAGGAAAAAAACTCCTATGATTACAGAATAAGACTAACTCAAATATAGATACAGAATCATTACAATTACATTTAGTAGGAAAGAAGAATTTCTAAATAAAGCTAAAAGTTGCCTAAAAAAAGTGTTCACATTTAGATTTCTTTCACTGTAAACTAAAAACATGAAAATATTCCCTCATACATTTGTTAAACTTGATCTCTCAGTATTGAGGCAGTACAGCCTGTTGAATTTAAAGCTAAAGTACAAGGTATGAAAAATGCATTAAAAAAAGAGCAAAATATTTTTTGTTTCACTGAACATGAGTTTAAATTAGTTGATTTAGAAACTCGATAATTGATTATTTTCTTTTTACAACAAAAGAAAATTACTTCTGTTCAATTTATTTCCCAGCAGATAATTTGAAATTTATATAAATTTTTATAAGATATATATTAGATTAATTGACATCCAGATTATTTTCTTTTTACAATGAAAGAAAATTACTTCTGTTTAATTTCTTTCCTAGCAGATAATTTGAAATTTATGCAAATTTTTATAAGATATATATTAGATTAATTGACATCCAGATTATTTTCTTTTTACAATGAAAGAAAATTACTTCTATTCAATTTATTTCCTAGCAGATAATTTGAAATTTATGTAAATTTTTATAAGATATATATTAGATTAATTGACATCCAGATTATTTTCTTTTTACAATGAAAGAAAATTACTTCTGTTCAATTTATTTCCTAGCAGATAATTTGAAATGTATGTACATTTTTATAAGATATATATTAGATTAATTGACATCCAGATTATTTTCTTTCTACAACGAAAGAAAATTACTTCTGCTCAATTTATTTTCTAGCAGATAATTTGAAATTTACATAAAATTTTATAAGATATATATCAGGCAAGAATTTAAAAAAAAATAATATGAAAACTTAGTGGTAATAAAAATAAATTGAAAGAGCACACATGAAAAGTAATCAAGATCCCTATTTTTGAATATAATAGTAAATTTGGTAACTAACAATCCTTTTGCTTAAATTTTGCCTTGCGATCATGGGGTGAAAGTATCAAATTAATATAATATAATAACTATACTAATATAAAATATAATTTAAACTTATAACAAAAGGAATTATATCTATGACGCTATAATAGATAAAAAAGTAAAAAAAAAAAATATTACTAACAAAGTCTGATTTAAAGAAGGTTATACTACTACATAAAAATAAAACTACTTATATAAATCAGGGTGCGTAGCCAAATCTCTCAACAAAAAATAAGCACTAAAAAATTATTTTTAAGCACTATATACATTACAAAAATGCAAAGTAATTTTCAAAGAATTTACATGGTCATGATAAAATTATTAAAATTACTTTCGGTTCGATATCAGAGGGTGGAAAATGAAGCCTGAAATGGAGAATATCTCGCAAAATGCACAATTGCATGTGAGAGTGCAAGAATCGCACCAAACCCAGCTCTGACAACGCACATGCGGACTCGCAAGTATTTCATAAAACATGTAAAATGATTGGTGCTCTTACGCTATGGACCGATGGTAAGCCGAAATAGATAGTGGCTGAATGAATCGTGAAAACGTTGAATAGAACAATGTGAAAAGTAGGCTTTTCCATAATAAGTGGCGAAAATCGACATGGAAAAGAAAAAAAATCTAATTTTCGAAAAGGGAAAACTAAGCATTTTTTAAAAACACCCAATAAAAAATTACTTTTAAGGGCTTTTAAAAAACGAAAATGGAAAATAAGCACCTTTTAAAAAAGCTACGCACCATGTAAATATGAAAGAATTAGCAAAACAAAACCACAGAGACCTTAGTTAAACTCATAAAACTGATAGCTTTGTTAAAATTATAATTAGTTAGTGTATGATCCCTTAAAAAGCCACTTTAAATTGAAAGTCTAACCTCAAACTTCATCAATCCATGAATTTAAAGTTTTATTTAAGAAGTTTTTATATATTTTGAAAACTGCACAATAGAAACTTTTGAGTAAAGTGGTAATTACTTAATCTCAATATCCTCAAAAGTATAAAAAAAAGTTGAAACAGTAAAGCAAATAAAAATAAATTCATAAAAAAATCCTGGGTCAGAGGAGGAATAGCGCGCACGCACGCACACGCACACACACACACATATATATATATATAAATTGTTTATTAACTACATTTTACATTTTTCTTCTTTTGACAAAGTCATATGGAAAAAAAAAAACTCAAGTTATTTGTAATTCCTAAAAAATATTTGGATCAGTAACATTGTCAAAAAAATATTTGGACCTAAATTTTTTTAATGGATAATTCCAATGCATTGCTACTTTACATTTAAGTTTAAAAAGTAACAATGATAATTTTAACATTATAAAAAGAATAACAATAAAACAATAATTTCAATGCATTTTTACTTTACATTTTATGTTTAAAAAGTAACAATGAAAATTTTAACATTATAAAAAAATAACAACAAAGCAATTACCTTTGCGAACAACTGGATATAAAATTTTTATTTTAAATTTATACCAATGAACTTTTTTAAAATTTTAGGAAAAAAAAACTAATCTTTCTGTCCTTTTTTTAAAAGAGAAAAACATTGGAATTTGGAATAATTGTTAGAATATATAAGCAATTGTTGGGATAATAAAGACATTTTTAAACAATCAACAACAATCTACTTCTAAAAAATCTAGGTTCTACAACGATCAAAAATAAAAAATAGGATTTCTCCTAATTGAGTTATACAGTTGAAAAACTATGAAATCACCAATGAAATTCATCAAATTGAAATAGTCATAGTATTTGTTGAAGGAAGACTACATTAAGAAAGAAGACAGTGTATAAAACATAATAAAAATATTATTAAGATAAATTCTTCATTATTTCTTAAATCAAATTATTATAAATATACTTAGATATAAAAACAATATGCAAATAAAAAATTTTAAAAGTTACTTTTACAGATTTAGAAACTGTTAAAGCATGTTCTATGTTTCAAATTAAATTAAAGTAACACTGCAAAGTAAAATTAATGTGTGATAAAAAATTAAACAGGCCTATATTTAACTCTGATAAATAAAATTGATATATATATATACATATATGTGCCCTTTCCTGTACACTGAAAGCCGTAAGCAAGAAGTGAAGTCCCGCCATTCAATGTAAGCTGCAAGCTGATCCCTGTGCGCACAACTAATAAACAATGGGAATTTCCCTAAGACATTAGAGTGCGATTTGGAACTAACCGATAAAGAGAAGTAGTAATAGTTTATAAACATCGCAAAAACGAACTCTAACTCATTTATTTTTTTTGTTATTTATTTGTTTTTTTATTGTCCGTCTTATGCAAATTTCTCTTCAGTATAAGTTTTTGTTAAAGAACAGCGCCTCTTTTTATTTTCAAAGACGACCACTCTTGCCGTCCCCATATATATACATACACACACACACACACACATATATATATATATATAAAGCTGTTTCAAACATTAATAGCTGCTATATAAATTTTTAAGCAACTTTTTAAAATTACAAATTCATAAGTTTCTGGAAAAAACTTAAATTGTGAAATCTGAATATTTTTTAAAATTAATTTTGAATGTAATCTAGCTAATTTTATGTACCAGAAATAAATTTTTTTTTATTACAAGAATAAAATAATAATAAAAATTACCGTTGTTAAGAAACTATACAAAGGTGGTCGTGTTTCTGTATATTTAACAGTGATAGGTGTCAAATCGTAGCGAAACCATATGGCAGGCATAATTCTACCAGAATGGCTGAAAGTGACAGAACTCTGGAAAAAAAATTAATAATAGTGAATTATAATAAAAATTATAAACACATGGAAACAGTAACATATTTATTTTTCCAACTATTATAGAGCAAAGAAGATATTTCCAACTGAACTCTCATTAAATTTAGCTGTTACAATTATACTAATTGCACTACAAGTGAATTAATTAGTCACTAGATTGGCAGGTATAATAGCAGTTTTGTACATCTTACATACATCTCAAATTAAAAAAAAAAATTAATACTGTACTTTTACTTACCTTGAGTTTTCTTGATAAAAATTAGTTTCATATAATTACAGCACACATTTATTTTTATTACTAGTAAAAATTTTTTTTTACTTTTGCCAAAGTACACAGCTACGGGGAAAAAAATAGGATATTTTGCTACTACACAGTGGGCCAGATGCATCATTTTTAACAACAGCAATTAACAACAGCACAAGACATGTGGCCACTTTTTAAATAATTGAAAAGTTTTCTTGTTTAAACAAACTGTTAATTTTAATAAATACTTTTGTAAAATTTCAATAAAAAATGCAAGTTTTTAATAAATGCCTTTTATTAGTTAAATAAATTATTCTGCTAAATTTTTAAAGTAATCTAAATTGCCCATTCTAATGAAAAACAGAAAAAGCACATCTCATACATTCAGCATAAATTGTTAAATTTTCACAATTTATCCTACACCAAGTGATAAAGATAAATGATATACTAATTAGATTGGTATCAAAAGTATTTAAACATGTGACCAGAATATTTTATATAATCCCGGAAATTTTAAAATAGGATTTTTTAAAGTCATAATTATATTCTGCTGATGGCAGAAATCTAAGTACTTACACAAATATATCATAAAATTTTAAATTAATTTCTAGTTGCGATAACTTCTAGTTGCTTTCTTGCACTACAGACCAGTTTTTGTATTGTTTAAAAGCGAAGCATTGTTAGTAGGAAATTTTATGTCAAATTTGTACATCTACATTAACACTTGAAAGGGCAAAAAAAAAATTAAAACATTGAAATTGCAGAGAAATTAGTTCTTTCCATTCCAAATATTCAACTTAAAAAAATTTAAAAACATCTTACATCATTAAAAAAAAATATCACACCATATTTAAGAGTAGCAAGCACAGATTTTCTTAATTTTTAAATCAGCTTATTTTATTTATTTTTTAATTTAATCTACAAATACATTGAATTTTGCAAGGAAACAAAAAGCGAGACAGAAATTGTGGGGTAAAAAAGGAGATAAGAAACAACTTTTTAAAAAATTATATAAAATTTAAAAACTAAAAATGTTCATCTCAGTTAAAGAAAATTATCTTTTTAACCAACATGTTTGCAGTTTTTTTATCATTTTTACTAAACATTAGTTCATTTTAAATAAGGGAAGGGGGAACATGGAAAACTATTAATGCAAAAAATTATTTTTGTATATTTTGTAATAGCGTCTAGCAGCTCACTATTTTTTCTTCTTTCATGGCTACATTAAAATTTTATGGGCATTTTTACCTTCCTTTGTTTAAACTAGCTAATAATTTATTCATTTGTTTCGTAGTTACAGTTCATTATGTCATACATTCAATAGTTCATTATGAGCAATGCTTTCTTTTTTATTTAAAAATAAATTAAAAAAAGTAAATAATTTATGAAGAAGAAATTTACATATGGGCAGAAACAACAATTTTATGCAAGAGCTAGAAAGAAAAACTTACCGGATCATTAGTTACAGTGAAAGTATATATTCTCTGTTGCAAAAGCAATAACAAAAAAAAAATGACTGTAGAATCTGATTCAAATTATTTTTAATAAATAGAAATAGCAAAAATAAGTGAAATACAGTAAATATTATCAACAAGGTGGTCGTATTTAAAACAAGTAATTTAATATTTCAATTCATTTTATAAATTTTTTTTCAACAAATCCGCATATTTCATTTCATTTTATTTATTTTTTAACATATCCTTTTTTTTAATTAGCGTTCATGTTTCTTGGATTCAGAATTTTTCTTTATGGGAAATGTGAGACTGAAAAGAAATTTAGAAATAGATTTGTTTAAAAAAATACAACTTTCTTTTTTAAAACTCTATTTTATAGTCATTCTCTAAAACATAAAAATTTAATTATTAGGAGAGGTAAGGATACATAGACTTATTAGAATATTATTTAAGATTATAGTTGTACATAAGGATAGATATATATAAGATTAAAGGCAGTTCATTAGGATGCACATAGAATATTGTTAGATATTCAGCTGGGCTTATAAATTCTTTTTACAGGTGGATAAAATTTCTCATGGATTTAAATAAATTCATGTTGAAGTTTTTATTTACCTGACCTAGATGAAAAATTGAGTGCAATGTTAAAAATATATATTCATTTTTTAAAATATGTTGATATTGTTTTAGACTAATTACTTGTAATATGCTTATATAAATCTTCATGCAGATAGAATATTAAAGTTTACGGTTTGCGTTGCAATCAATATTGGTGTGTTTAAGCAACAGAAATATTCTATGGTTGATTGAGCACTGACTCATTATGTCATTGTGTTGTTTGCCTTGTTAGTTTCAAAATATGTCTTTCATAACCACAATAATGACTCAATTACATAAATTTTTTTTTACAATTTATTTAGCTACAAATAATTAAATCACAATAAAAATTTAAAAGTAAATTTCCTCTCATGTTTAAAATACTTATTTACTAATGTATAGGGAAACAACAAGCATTGGTTACAGCAGGGCAAAAATTTTTTTGACAACAATCATTGAACTTTTTGCTCAAATTGTGAAAACATAATTATTTAAAAAAGCATTTACCTTATAGGCATATGTGTATTGATAAGTTTCAACTTTAAGGCCATTCAAACTTTCGTAAATGGTGGGTACAATTTTCATCACATAGTCATGAGATTCAATGTCTGAAAAGTCAAATAAATAAAGCTAAAAAATACTTTGCAGTTCTTTCAATAAGATGTTGTACAAATAAGTTAACACTTAACAATTAACATTTTAAACATTTCTACAACCTATATTTAAATATCTGACATTAATTTTACAATTGAATGCATATGTATATCTTTAATTCAATGCAATAACCTGTAATGTAAAACTTTTAGAGCTCATTTTAAGAAAAGTAAGTAAATACAAATTAAAATTAATATGTTAAGATATAAGTTTAATTAAATGACGAACCACAAAATAAATACTAAAATATTTCATTCTATCAGTTCTATAAAATAATTTCATTCTATTATTATTAAATATTTACTACAATTTAAACAAATTATTTTTAAGGAAATGACATTGTATTGAAGTATAGCATTATCTTCACATTGCCATAAATCATGCCAAAAATATCTGCTATAATTAATAATTAAATATTTTTCTACCACAGAAAAAACAAAAACTATAAGAAATATCTAGATGTATTAAATATAAAAAATATTTACCAGCAAATAAAGTACTTCCGTCATCTATGAACAAAAGCAATCATTTAAAAAAAAGCAATCTATGTGTTGACAGTAATATTTACAATTTAAGTAAATATTACATATAAATAGTAAATATCACATTAAGTAAATATATAAATATTATCTTTGTTAAATTTGGTTTATTTTCTAAATCCTAAATATAAGAGAGAGTAAAATCTAATCTAAATCTAAGATAGAGGCACATGAATAGACCAGTGAAAATTTTTATGGATTTATTTAATCTCTAATATACTGGTACGATGTACCAGTGACTAAATTTTTTAAACTTCCACTTTCAAGGAGTGTTCTGTTTTTACATGCCAATGGATTATTTTTAATATCAGAGGATAAAAGATTGGATATAGCGTAAAAAAGAAAGATGGTTTGTTTTAACCATACGTGGTGTAGTTTGATTTTTATGTTATTGCTTAAAAAAAATCATCTAATTTTTTAAAACTATTAAGTCTGTATATTGAAAAACTTTTTACTGAGCATGCGATTTAGGAACAAAGCTACTTAAAGCTAGAATTAATTTTGTATCAAGGTGTATTTTAGTCAATTGTTTCTAATCTATAATTTATTTCTTGCAACAATTTTAACTGATCATCACTAAATATTCTTGATAGGAGACAAAGCAGAGGTAAGAGAAGACAATGTAGAAAAGGAACCAGAATTCATTGAAATAGATCCGAGTAACTAGAAAACAAAATCTTAATCTGATGTACTAGAAAATTTTTGCGACATCTCAGATTTTGCTCTAAAATATGACTAAGAACTGTATTATAAAACTTTGACATTATCAGCGATCTGCGTAATCTTGCTGGTAATTATGCATTTTTTTAAATTTCTTTGAATAACCAATTAGTTTATAGCTTTGAATAGTGACAAACTCTTAACGCTGGTAACAAGTCACAGGTTTTAGTCTCTCTCTCTCTCTATATATATATAAATAAATTCTTAGCTTATGACACATAAAAGCACAAAGTGATTGTAGAGCTGGGTATAAATTTAAACCGCATACAAAATAACAGGAATAAAAATGATAAAAAAAAGTGTCCCAAGCATAAGTTTTCTAATTTTGAAGCATGTTTGTAATAAAATAATGCATATGCGAAAAAAAATGTTAAATGTTAGTAAAAACAGGCTAAAAATGTTAGTAAAAAGGGGGTGCTACACCAAGGCTAAAGAGAATAGAAGGGCTAGTTCACTCCGCTCTTAGAGCTGAAGCTACGATTTCCCTCCTCATGACGTCACTGTATCCACAGATCTCGGAAGATCGCACGCTAAGATATTATGATAACTTTGTATCTTTCTCTTTGTAAAAATAAGTTAGACTTTTTCTGGTTATTAGCTTTCAAACTTTACGTAATTAACACATTATTTCCATTCATAAACATAGTTTAAAAAAACTTTCTTGGCCATTATATTAAAAAAAAAAACCATTTAAACCTATAAATTTTCTTACTAGTTGGCGAAAATGACACTATAAATACTTTATTTTAAAAAGTTCAGTTTTAACTTTAATTATTAAGAAAAATGAAAGCATATATCGACACTTTTTTTATCTACATATTCTTTTATAACGATAAGTTAAGTTAAATTTAGAATCCCTGATTTTAAAATATGTCGTTAATAGCAATTTGTTCATACTTAATCATTAAGAAACATCAACCTTAAACGCTAATTACTGAAACAAAATAATAATTTAGGTTTATACTGACATCAGAAATTTTACAATTGTTTATAGATATTTAAATTTAAGATGGTATAATTTATAGATATTTAAATTCAAGAGAATATAATTTTTGAAAGAATCATAAAGATTTAAAATAACTATAACATTAAAAAAATAAGTTACGAAATTAGGAGAATTTCAACTGTACACCATATATTTTATTTATACTTTTTACTTACGTTTTAATTTTCTTTGACTTTATCCATTTTTTAATTTTTTTCACATGCCTTTCTTTTTGAAGTAACGAATTTAGATAACGAATTTTTATAAAAGTTCTTAACGATAGAAAAAAATGTATTGCTGTTTTATATTAACTGTGTCATTTCGGAATCCATTCTTTACATAGTTGTTCATTTACTTTAGGGAACACGAGGAAAATTATATTTTTTCCTTTCGTTTTTCTATCAGAATTTTTGCAAGTTGCAATCGCACAAACTGACATTTCGTTAATAGTTTTGAAATTTTGTAAATTCACGGCAAAAACTGAGGAAAGTCATTATAGAAAATAACAAATGTCTTAGAATATGTCACAAAAGAAATGCTCCAATATTAGTTAGAGCTAGTAAGGCCGAAAGCTCTGTTCTTGAAGTAAAAGTGCGAGCTTTGCGCCAAAGTGACGTCACTAGAGAAAATAGGAGGACTGGCGCGGCGAGAGTTTCTTCAAAGGAGTGAACCAGCCCTTCTATTTCTCTTTAGCCCTGGTGCTAGACACCATATAGTTATTGTTGGGCAATTTGTGTAACGTCCCATTTTGGCGATCAGAATGTTCCACCAAATCTTGCAAATGAAAGCCATAGGATCATCCTATTTTTATTTTAAGTCTGATGTTCAGGTCAACAAGCCCACAACCACCCACTTTTGAAGGAGGAAACTGAGCACAGTATCAACTAAATTTCATCAAAAATTTTCACACAAGGGTCTAAATGCGCCAGGAAAACCAAGGAGGTCATTTATCCGACATGCTGTTTAATCCATAACACTATACAATATAATGAATAAATCAATAAAAAACACAACTTTTAATTAAAAATCAGTCTTTTTTTTATCGATATTACTTGACACATAACATCTTGCATAATGTGAGAAAAACAATAAAAAAAAATTATATGGCTATAAAAATGGCAAATAGCACATTTATGCATAGTTGAAGTGCAACATAAGGACAGGTTAAGAGAATTCGATCACGTAAAATTGATATAATTAATGTTCCCAAAAAATGATTCAGAAACAAAACAGTGTATAGAAATTGTATTTTTTAAACAAACAAAAAAAAAAAAAAAAAAAAAAAAAAAAAAAAAAAAAAAAAATCAACATTTTCATTTCATTTCAATCATTAAATGATAATTTAAACTCATTTGTCCTTTCAAACTAACAAAACGTTTTTACCTCTAGCACCGCTTCGGTCAATTTCTTTCAATGGATTAAAACTGCCTTTTATTTTTCCAGCCTACATACAACAGAAAATAAAAATGCAATTAAAATCTAATAATAAATAAAAAAAATATTAAACATAAAAAAATATTACTAAATAAAATAATGCTTGTGCTTTGCTGCATGCTTTTTTTCAAATGGGATTGATTTAATTAAGTATACATTTGAATGTATTGGAGAAACTAATCATAGGACAGCCAAGTACAAAATTTAACATTAATAAAGCGATTTACCATATATTTTATAAATATATTATATTTCACATATATTTTTCGGATTACTATTTATGAAACAAATATTTAATTTTATGCATTAATAAATTGGAATATTTGTGCTTTAGGGAACATTGTAAAAATATATCACTAGGCAAAGACACAAGTTTTCAACTTTAAGTGAGATAATGACATTTTACATAAAGATGTATTTTAAAATCGAAAATCTCTTCATAAATTCTTACATTATAATGAAAAAAATTAAAACTAATAAAAATTGATGGTTTGGTGATAGAAAGTTGATTAAATTGCTTGTTTCTAAATGCTAACAAAAAAGAAGGAAAATATGTTGAAAATCTTAAAATTATTCTAATAAAGCAAATAAATGCATTGCGTAGAAATATAGGTAATAATATTAATAATATAGGTAATTGGTAATAAGAGAGGGAATTGCAGTAATAATATGTGTAACTTTCTTTATTCTAATTTAACTTCAATTTAACAAACTAAATAGCTTATTTTTTATATGTTACAAAAATTTCAGACTGTGTTTAGTGAACATCATTATCAGAATTAAATAAGCAATTATTGTGCTATCATACCTTTTATAATAAAGATAATAAAAGAAAAAAAAGTTTTTATATAATACATACCAATGTTAAAATAAATGAATAATTTATAAAAAATTCAGTTTAAAAAATTCTTCACATAACATATAAAGACTTAATGAGATTTATAATATTATGAAGTTCAAGTTATGAATAACAAAAAATTAATTTTTTTAAAATTAATTTTTAAACAAGCTGTGTTTTAACAAAAGTATACTGGACTTCAATAAATTTAGGATTTCATATTAATAAATTGCAAAAAAAGTTAGACAAATTTAAAAATAGACAAACAAACAGCGAGACCAGAGGTGACAATTTAACAAACGAGAGTTGAGTTTATCGATGGAAGTTGCTTGTATGATTTTAAAATAAAATTTGAAAAGTATTTTCATAAAATTTGAAAAGAAACAAAATATTTTTATGTTGATAAATATAATTTTAATACTAATGAATTAAAATTGTTATAAAAATTTAATACCAATAAATTTTGCATACATTAATTTTATTCCTTTTTTCCACCAATGTTTAAGAAGAATGAATTAAATTTTGAAAATATAAAGATCAAAATGATAAAAAAATAATAATAATTGAATTTTGAAAAAAAAAAAAAAAGCNAAAAAAAAAAAAAAAAAAAAAAAAAAAAAAGCAATGATATAATTTTAATAACAGCTATGTTTTCTTAAGCAATTACAATTTTTTTTAAACAGATATTTTGTTATTGTAGTAAATATTCTGAAATTAACAAAGTTAGACCACTTTAAGTCAAAGAGTTTAAGTAAAACATAGTAGTTTTAGCAAATTCATTTGGATTATCAAAATTACTTTTAAAAATTTGCATTTCAATTAATAATATGGTTTTCTCAACCTTCATCATGAGGTTGGTTCACATCATAGCTTTAGGTAGATATTAATATGGAAATGATAAAAATCTATTTAACAGAAAATACAAGTAAGCATTTTGCAAGTAATTAATTTATTGTATACAATTACAGCAGATAGGAGGAAAAAAATAAAGTAAAAATTAAAATTTACCACTTTGGTGCCAAAACTACACTCATGTATGATATGACGCATATCAATAGCATCAGGTTGAGACGATGCTGAGTGGGTAGATACATGAAAATTTCCTGGAACCTAAAAAACAAATTTAATTCTTAGTTATTAAAAAAGAAATATGACACATGACAGTCAAGGAAGTACATTTTTTTTAGCAGTGTGCGACAAATTTTTCAAAGAAGCAAAAAGAGCCCTTAGCCAAATTTATTTCAGTTTTACAATTGACATTAAACCTTAATAACTTTTCCTTACTTTAAAGCTGGATTATAAAGGAGTTTTTGAAACAATGATTTTTTTGAACCTCATTAATTAGTTGAATCTTAGATTAACTTTAGAGATTGCTTTTCTACAGCAGTACAAGAGGTAACTAATAAATTACAATTTAATTAATAGAGTTTTTATTTACAGAAGGAACTGTTGTTACTTTAGAAGTTTATTTATAAAGCATAATATTAATTGTATGTTTTATTATCATGAAATTAATATTAAGATACACATTGAAAACTTGGAGAATTCGTGAACATTCGAACATTTAAAACTTGGAAGTTAGCATTAATCTCACCAAGCCCGTCTCTGTTCTGTAAGAACAACAAAAAATTGAAAATTGTTTGAACATACATATCTATATGTATGTTATCCTGTATATAATTAATCATTAAAGTACAGAAACAATTGCATTCTAAATATATAAATTAAAACAAACTTTTAAATTTTACACAATTTGCAATCTGTTGCACCTAATTTGGAATTTGAAATGTTTTAATACTTAGCTTTATTTTAAAAGAAAAGTTTTCAATTGATAACTAAAAATCAATTTGAAAAAAAAAAAATGTTCTTCATCGAATCCTTCTTTCAAAATATAGTTCTTACTTTATATATTATAACTAAAAGCAATGCATGTATTGAATAAGGAATTATTTTATAGTAATAGCTTTCATATAGCAAAAATTATAAAAGCTAAATTAAATATCGTTTTTAGGAAAAATAAAAATTGAATACAGATTACAAGTAGCTTAAAAACACACTAATACAGCTGACTGTAAGGCTTTACAGACATTTTACCAAATTAATATTCTTTAAAAAAAAAACTTTAAAGAATGAGAGACACATATCAGACCAAGTGTTCTCAAACTTTTGATATCTGTATTTTTTTCATATGAATCAGAAAATTTCAAACCACCACCATTTCAAATACAATGTTAAAATTTAAAAATTAATAAAATATCAGTACTAATTTATTCACATTTAAGGAAAAATTAATATTATCTATTAAAGAAAACAATTTTATTGTATATCCTAATGACACATACAGGATGCTTTCCCCCAATTTTTAAATTCAATCGGAAGAAGAAAAACATTTTCGTTTTAGCCATCACTTAAATTTAAAAATCTCACACAGAGAACGCACTTTTCTTCCAATGCCCACCCATATATTGACTTTCGTCATTCGGATATCAGAAGGGTAGATATGTTGACAACTATTTCTGGGAGCACCCTATTAGGTGAACCAACATTACCCCCCATGTAAGAAATGTAAATTTGAAGTGCTTACTTCTAGAAATTTAAATTTAAGCAGTAACGCTAAACTGTCTCAAATCAAAATGCATCAAATATTAGCCCTGAGTTTTTATTTACAAATGACAAAGAAAATGAATTAGAAAATGTGCAAAATGGGGAATAAATGCAAAAATACTTAAACAGATAAGAGTTTAACATACCTTATTTATATAAAAACTTCCTTCGAATCTACAGCCTTTATTATCAGGGCCAACAGGTACTTTTTCAGTGTTTTCAACAAACCCTACCTCATGGCGACCCATTTCGTCTTGGATGTCTAAACCAATCACTGTAAAGAAAAAAATTCAGTCCCAAATATATATGTAGTATAAGTAGATTCAGTAAAATTAATAAAATAAAATATTTGTTAATTTTAGATTTTTTTTAAAAATTTTACTTTATTTACTGACTTGTTGTTTAATGTTCAACTACATTCGTGCAAACTATTACGACACAAATACTTTCAGTGGATACTTGCATCGAAGGTCAAAAGTCATTCAAAATTCGCTGAAAAGAAATTATTTTGAAAGACTTTGACAGTCAGGTTCACTATGTATGAATAATGCATACATAGTGAAACACAAAGTTGTATGTGTTTAAGAATACAAATAAATTACTAACACCTAAAAAAAAAATAAACGTGAGTGGCGTATATTTGGCATGACCTTAAAGTAGCAAAAAATTAAAATTTGTACACCTTTCAAGGCCATTAACTGCCTTTGCCAAACCTAGACAAGCATGAAATTTGCTGGAATTAATGGATGTGATTTAAAACCAATATGAATATCTACAGTTAACACCTTCCCGAGGTGAGCTGCAGTCTCAATTTTGAACTCACTGAGGGAAAGAGGGGACTTGCTATCTATTCAAGTAATATAATGTTTCAAAGTCTTTTTTTAAATGCTGAATCAAATAAAACCTCACCCATGTCGATACAACTAATAGACCAGAAGTTATGAAAGTTTTTATGGATAAATAGTACAGTACATTGCCGTGTAGACATACTAAGTATTAGATTTTCAGGATTTTTAGAATTAATCGAATATTTCTGAATGACCTTGGATGCAAAGATCCGCTGAAGATATTATCTCTTAATAATGAGTGGAACGCAGAAGAATATAAAATAACGCTCACTTGTTTTACAAAAAGTATTGTCACTTGTAAATCGATGTGTTTATCTCAGTTCAGATCTTCAGTTTTGACACCTCAAAACTATGATGAAAAAAAATTCTCGCGGAAAACACGTGCATAATTGTTGTATACAAGGAACATATTCTGAAAACTTTTAGAAAATCAAAAATGTCAATTATCTAAACTTGTTTAATTTGTCCAAATTTTAAGAAAAATGAATCTTAAAGATTATCAAAAAGGGATAGTATAAAATGAAGACCATTTTAGAAAGTGGTACAAATCATATTTCACTATCAAAAATAATGGCTCACTTGACAAAACCAATGCACCCTACGATTTCTCGAATAACGGGTAGGGATAGCCTGGTTGGTAGAATGCTGGGCTCATGTTCGTGAGATCGAAAGTTCGAATCCCGAAGAATCCCCATGTGACCGTTGGACTTGAATCTGTGGGGGTTACAAAGTCCTCCAGAGTTTTCATATCAAATCAAAACCTCTGAGGGTACTCAATTGGAGATGGATTGTTTTCTAGTTCAGGTCAAAATTACGATCTGCGGACGAATGAATGGGTCCTTCCTGCAAAACGAGTTGTGACGTGTGTTTGTAGCGGAAGTCGTATTCTTAGCCATAGATGGCGCCACTGAAAAACAAGAAACGCAACATCTGCCTTAAAATGACTCGGATTTTTAAAACAAGCCTGTTAATATTGTCAAGCGGTAATAGTAACAACTATTTCTCGCATAACAAACTAGTTTGTCTCGGTTATGCTATGACATGGGAGAAACTTTTCGTCCCCAAATTCTCTTGCACTCTAATTTAAAAGAAAGGAAATGTCAGTTCAGACAAACCTTAGAGTAAGCTGTAAAGTTACTGAAAAAAATATTGCAGAAAAAAATTTCAAAATGCAAAAAAATTATTGGAAGAGAACTTCTCCATTGCGTAATCCTAAGTTATCTTCTTATAATTTTTATACTTCAAAGGAAATTTTTTCTGTATTTGAAAAATCTTGTCTTTTTGGCTTACTCTAGGTTTGAAGGGCCAGCGTTAAGCATTTGTCACGTCGCCAAATGCGATAAAATCGTACATTCGGCGGGGAAAAAAATGTGTTTTAGCGAAAGTATTTTGTCTATTGAAAAGAAAAATATATATTCCCATCAAACTTGAAAAAAATTATAATAAAAAAAAGGTCAAAGGGAATTTTTCAAAACAAATCCTGTATCTTTTATTCAAATAGTACACTAATTTCATTTAATTACGTCGCATAACCCATTAGAATTATATTAAGTCCAGATTATGTAAGAAACGAGAGAGAATATGTAAGCGTCTACCGTAAAGTACAGACTACTACGTTCGTGACGAAATTTTTTCTTACAGTTTGCGTCAACAAAACATTATGTGGGTAGTAAGATGCATATGATCATCCAAATATTTTTGTAGAAAATATGCATTCTCATGACAATAACATAATTTTGCCTAAGGTTTATCCTTATATTACTCTTCCAATCTAAGATATTATTAAAAATTAATCTTTTCCAATTTCTTCCCCTCAAAGACGATAAAACATAATTTTTTTTTTTTTTTTTTGAAATANTTTTTTTTTTTTTAAATCTTCTCTCCTTTTCATTGCTCCTTTACTTCTCTCCAACTGCAAAATGACTCTTGATTTGAATTCGCATTTTATAAAATAATTCGATTTATAGTAAATTAGCATTTTGATTTGAAGTTTGCTATGTCAAAAAATCAATTCTAAGAAATTGTTGAGATTAGAATTTGGCTAAGAATGTTGAAAATTGAGTAATACTTTTGACATTTGATAAATTTACTGAATTTGAAGCGGTCTTGTCTGAACTCTTTTTTATATACTTAAAAATTAGTTATGGTGGTGTAAGAAAATTTGCAGCGAAGAACTCACGTGGAAAATGTTGAGCAAACTTAACTCTTAATTAAGTTAATGAGAAGTAACTAAATTTTTTTAAAATTTTTTTTTTAGAATGGACAATTACAGCATCGCTTAAAATCAGTACCGTCTTTACGCATGGGCACACCCGGGCAGTGCCCAGGGGCCCCAGGCACTCAGGGGGGCCCTTGAGAATCTTACTTTTTATAAATTGTATTANTAGGAAATTTTCTCCCGAATTCGAAAATCCGATTTGTTATTTATTTATTCAGTAACAATTTAAATTGCTCTAAAAAGGTTCCGTAGATGATGCCATCAAAAACGATCCCTGATGGGTCGTGACGTCACAAGTGCGAACGGGCGGTAAGTCTACTTATTTCTCATACCTTATTTCAACGTGGTTTTTATACGGTGTTCTCTTTCGTCTTCAAATTTATACTAATACTAATTCTGTGAATTAAAATTACACTTTTATAAGTGTGTGCATGCAAAATGGAGGAAGGTCTTCAAAAAGCCCAGACGGATAATATTCCAAAAATAACAGAGGAAATGATTATATGAATGATACATACCAGAACACTGCAGATTCGGAAGGGTTACATTCAAATGAACTAAAATCCGATCATTATCACCAGGGTTATCAACAAAAAGTTCACTAATTCTAAAAAAAAGAAGAAAAAAATATATAATTATTCATTAATGATTAAAAAATAACAAAAATAGCAATTCAAAAGATAAAATTGCTATTAAAGTAAAGCAGTTTTAGAAGCAAACAACCAAGTAAATGTAAAGCAGAAATAGAGAATGAGTTGTACAAAATTTGAAAGCAACATAGTTATTGTCAGATACAAAGCAAAGTCAAGTATAAAGTTTTTCTAAATCATAAAAATAAAATCAATTTTTAATTAATTTTAAATAATTAAGTCTCATGACTAGGTTTAATATACCTTTGGGTACACAATGGGAATTCCTTAAACATAATAAATTAAGTTAAATACCATCATTTGAATACTTTTTGATGATAAAAATATTTCACATGATGTAAAGGTTTAGAAATTAATTTATTTATTAAAAAAAAAAAAATTGATTTACAAAGCTTCAACTGTTGATGTAAAAGGCTATTTGTAACCATATACCCATTCTATAGTTCAGCAATGGAGAGTATTATTAAAAAGAAATCCATGTGTAAGAGCATGGGGGAAGGGCACAACAAGACCTTTCAAATTCCAAATTGAAAAATGTAATGGGAATTTTATTGAAAATTATCCAGATGCATGTGGTTCATATTCTTACACTTATAGAGGCATTTTTCTTATTTGCAAAAGTTTTAAAAGCTTACAGTTACTACTATGGACATCGCAGGAGCTCAATATTTGAGGAGGACGAAACTAAGTTACAGTCACAATAGCTCTCTAAATTTCATAGATAAGATTAAAAAAATCTTAAATGGGATAAATACCTTAAAAAAGATAAATTATTTTTTTCTTTCTTTCTTGTCTTTTTTAACTTTAAGGAATTCAAATTAATGATAATTCACTAAAAAAAAAATTTATTAGTCAAAAGTATTGAGTGGAATTTTTAGAGATTCTAATGAGGAGGGGGGGCGTATATCCACCGTCCCTGCCGTCAGCGATGCCCATGGCTAGAGTACAATTATTTGATAAAATAACATTATTTTACAAAAATTTACAACACGCACAGCACTCATGTGTAACCATTAGCCGTCACCATCTTAATTTTTAAAAATAGTTTTTTGGTCTCTCCGTCCCCTCGTACTCTTTTAAGGGATTGCATATGAACCGTGATATGCACCCACTAAGGATGTTTAGATCATTTATGAATAAACCTATTCCAATAAAATTTTGATAATGCATTTTAAGGGTGTTAAAAAAAACCGGTTAACAATTTAGAGGTTTAGTGTTTTACAATCAATAAATAAAAATTGTTGCTGCATTATGAGTCGAGAGTGACACAACAGTTGCGAAATTTCAAGTGGAGAAAAACGATACCCCAAGAATTCAGGCAACTAACAACACAACTTTACTCCTTACAAATTATCCCATCTCTTTCAACTTGGAACGGAAACGAGATTCCTTTTAAACTCCCACCGCATAACAGTGACCCCTACCCTAGGTGACCCCTTAATATTTGTTACCCACGAAAGAAGGGAGACATTTGGAATGCCGTTATTAATTGGGACTACGACACCACACATTCCTGGCCGTGTAAACATTTTTCCCGCGCGACACCACGAGTTTGCCCCCCCCCCAATACTTGGCGGAAACCAACATTAAAACTGTCTTCCGGGATGCTAGTTTTCCCGCTTCGTACAAACACTGTACACTCCCCCCCCCTTCCTTTTTCCGACGCCTCCACACTTTTCAGAAAAGGCACGACGCAGCTGCAACCTTCTGCGGCTATTAATCCGCAGCGACGGATGCAAAACGTATAATATTAACGAGGGATGTGCAAGTGTTTATGTGTCTCTTAAAAACAGTGTGGGCGGATGTGGGTATTATAAAACTTTTCGGTCTTACAGGAACTGGAGCGGGCTTCTCTATTGGACTGTAATGGATGAAAATGAGGGAAGTGACAGGCATGGAATAATTAATCCATTCTATTGTTGAGTTATGAATGATTCTTTCAAATTTTTCAATACTCTTGAATTATGAAGAGAGATCAGCTTATGGGTTTAGGAGGAAATTCGAGATGCACAGCTACCCATAAATAGACGAATTTCGGAAAAGTTTTCGCAAATGAGATTGTTTTAAATACTTGAAATCTTATCTTTCGATGGGTGGTGACATTTTTCTAAGATGTTCCTAAGATGTAGATGTTTAGGGGGAGGACTAAACGAATAACCTACATTTTAACATAAATGTATTCGCTGATGTTTTAATTTTTCTCTCATTTGAGGTTGAGATTTACATCATAACTAAATAAGTTTTTGTGGATGAGTCTTGAAATTTAAAATACGGTGCGCAAAAGGGAGAGGGTAGATACAGATAGGGTAGACTTATATAAGCTACTTAATGGGTGCTGACGATATTTTTTAAGTTACGAAATCGGACGCAAAAACGTATTTTCTCTGAAAAAAACATAACTTTGTTTTTAGACGGATTCAGATTTTTGAAACTCAAAATATAAGGGGCAGCCGCCATCTGGGAAATACGGTTCTATTAGTTGAAACAGGAGGGCGGTAAAAAGTTTGGATCCCTTCATGTTAATTTCATTTTTTGTGTATTTCGCCAAACATCGAGAGCTTTGTAAACTAACTGAAAATTTTTTGCACACACTTATAAAATAACTTTTAGTAAATATTATTTTTCATTATTTCATTTAATAATAGTCGAAAAATTTTTGAATTGTAAGGTATACAATTTTTACATCATTTTAAGGAATATAATTTTACATGGCAAAATATACAAAATTGGAGTGAAATAGGTGGAACACTTAATGAGAAATCGATTTTTTTTTTTTAAAAATTACTTTTTCAAAATCCGATTTCTCAGGAACTAATTCGACCAATTACGATCAAATTTTGCATTTTGTCATGCAAAAAAAAAAAAATCTTTAAAATTATGTACAAAATTGTATACCTTGCAATTCCAAAATTTTTCGACTATTATTAAATAAAATAATAAAAAATAATAAATATTTACTAAAAGTTGCATGAAATTTGCATGAAATTATATCTAGATAAATGAATTTTATAAATGTGTGAATTTTTATTTTAAAATTTGCTTTAGAAATTCTCGAGATAGAGTGAAATACGCAAAGAGTTAAATTAAAATTAAAGGGTCCTAACTTTGAACACTACTAAGTATTGGGAGATTTCCCAGATTGCGGCTACTGTATTTTGGGAGCCAGAAATCCAAATCCGTCGATAGAAAAAAAAGGTACCTTTATTCAGAGAAAGTACGTTTTTGTGCTTGACTTCGTAACTTAAAATATCGTCTGCACTAATTAATTTGCATATTTGAAGTACCTACGGTAACCATTAAAATTGAGTCCCAGAACGTGAAGATCCGATCATTAGATCAAAAGTTATTTAGAGTAGTACGTCTATTATTTGGCTCACTGTACACCTTTCTAATGAAATTTTTTTCCATGTATAGGTAGTTTTTTTTATTTTATTCAACAGTCTTTGTTTAATATGAAGTGAAGTTTTTCAAAGTATTGATATATTGCTAATAAAATTGCCATGATTTGTTGGTATTTTAATTTGAAGCTTAGCTTTTAGTCTATTTTTAAGAAAAAGTCATTTCAAGTGAAATAGTGGATAAAAATTTTCAAGAACTTCATTGTAAAACTTCTTGGAGCGTTAACTATGGTGATATAAAAAAAGGTAACACTTTTAAGCATATAGCAGCGCTGTATTTAGACAGTTTCACTATAAAAATAGGACACAGATATTTTCGAATAATTTTTACAGAAAATAATTCATAAATGAAATTTTAAAAGCTAGTTGCACAGGGCAGCGGAGTCGAAAAAATAATTGCAGGAGTCATAGTTAGAAAAAAAATTGCTCGCATCAAAAATTGCTTGAGTCCTGCAGCTTAAAAAAAAAAAATAAATAAATAAATAAAAAAAAAATGAATAAATAAAAAAAAGAAAAAGATTTTAATGAAAATAATTTCCCTAAATATTTCTAAATATATATAAGTAATATTACTTATACGAATAAAATGAAAAATTTTAATTCCTAAAATAAGACTAAACAACTTAATTTTAGAGCCTATTTAAAAAAAAAACAAAAAAAAACAAACAAACATTAGTTTTATTATTAACACCCTTTGCAAAACAGTGGGATCCCCAGGAAGAATTTTAAAAAAAGTACCCTTATTTTTAAAAGTACTTACTAAAATTACTTTTAAGGCACTCTTAAAAAAAAAGCAAGAAAACGTGATAAGCAAATACAAAAGTTCAAAAAATTACTAAGAATCGATACTTTTCTTTTGAAAAAAGTTAGTTAATTTTTAATTTATTTGTTTATTCATTTTGTTATTATTGTTTATATTCAGAGTCCCCACCGTAGACTCATAATGCTGGTGTTATAAATCTGAACGAGGTAATTAAAGCTAAAATAGCTTGTTTACTCATATTATTGTTAGCTTTAGAATTTCTTGGAAAAATAATTAAGTTTTTAAATCAGAGAAAATAATTGATAATAAAATTCATCTGTTTATTTAAACCCTTTTACAAATATTCCTTTTAAAGCTAAAAATCATTTTTTTTTAAAAACGTAATTCAATATCAATACTATGCAGATTCACTACTTAATACTATAGGCAACAACCTCTGCTCGCTTCGCACACCAACCTCCAGAATAGCTCCAATATTATTTTGATTTCCAAACGATATGTATACCAAAATTAAAAATCATTCTTCTAAGAGAGTTCAAATTTTTTTTTTTTATTCCATTAACTAGGATTTGGTTGTACAGATTTAGTTCTTGATTCCATTTTAATAGTTAAATCATTTTGCTCAGTTTCTATTACAACTTTATTCATAATTTTGTTATTTGAATTCTTATATTTTTGGTCACTTTAAAACCTATTTCAACGATTTTTGCCAAAGTGATTATTTATTAATAGGGAGAAAGGTTAATTCTTAATAATGCTTTACTATTCCAGATTCATTATTTTAATTGCACGTGAA